CCCGGGCCGCTTCGAGGCGCCCCCGCCTCTGCCTTCCGTGCCGGGCGCCGGGAGGACCGAGGACGAGGAGCGCTCCCCCAGCCCCTTGGCGTGCGTCTCCCAGAGGGAGGAAGAGACTCAGGCTTCATCTTCGACGGCAGAGGAGCTCTCGCCAGCTCCGTCAGAGAGCAGCAAAGCCTCTCCTGAGAAAGAGCCCGTAGGTAAGCAAATAATGATGATGATGGTGGTGATGGTGATGATGATAGGAACGAAATCAAAAAAAAAAAAAAACAGAACAAAAAAAAAGAGAGAGAAAAGCGATTGAGGATCATAGTGGCATCACAGTGCAAAAGGAGGATCTCAGCAGCCCTGCAGGGCTGCCAAGAAGCGCTGCTCAGACTGACCTTCTGAACTTTGTAATATTCGGGCATAGGGTTGCAGTAAAAATTAATGTCCATCCTATAGTTAAAAACCCTTAGAGCCTCCGCTCTGGGCAACTTTAGCCTGCATGCTGCTTAAACATATAGGAAAACAAGATCAATCTTTCCCCAGTGATGTGAAGGTGCCTACCAGATAACAGAGATGTTTGTAAAGCATCCAAAATAAGCAATAGGCAGTGCCAATAAATAAACCTATTAACGCGGTAAGATATATTTTACGATCCAGAATGCTTTTCGGAATAACAGCCGCGCTGAAATGTGCCATCTATGAACTGCTATCAAATTATACTGATGAATGCACCAGGAATATCCTTCAGCGTCTACACTAGATAACAGGGTTGTTATTTATTCATTTGCTTATGTATTTCCCTTTCTGATCCCCACGGCAAAAAAAAAAAAAAAACCACAACAACAACAACTCCCTTTCCCCCGGGCTGCAGACTTTTCAGGCGCTTCTCTCCGGGCCGCATTTCAGACGCCCTGTTATTCCTTCAGGCGCCCCGTTGGAAAATAATAAGAGCAAAACAAAAAGCAAGCAGAAAACAGCTAGAGAGTCAGCCCTCAAACCACAAACCACTCCAAGCCATCGAGGGATCAGTATTATTCACTCCCATCGATTTCATTAATAGGAAAAAACACCCTGTAAAGGAGATTCCTCCTCCCCCCCACCCCGAAATCGTTTGGAAACCGAGAGCTAGGGCGAAGCTTTCCGGGAAGGCAGGGGCTAGAGGCAAGGAGGCTTCAGCTCTGCAGCTCACCTTGTTTTCCGCCTCCAGCGCACACTTACAAGGTTCTGGCCTGCAGGCTTTGTGTTTTTTTGGAAGCAGGTATTTGGGGGGGGGAAATGCCCCAGGCCAGCCACCAGGCCGCCCCCCGGTAACTGTGGCTTGGCAGCGGTGGAGGGGGAGCCGGCAAAAGCCTGTTTCGGGGGGTCTGAGATAAACTGCCCACCGGGCACCTTTCCCCGCCAGAGGCTGCCCTTCTGTTTTGGGGCGGAGGCAGGCTTTTTCCAGCGAGTTCTCGGGCCTTTCGGAGTTGCTTTGAAGCTCATGGAAACGAGGTTCCCACACGGACTCCCTGCGTTTAAACTGTGCTCGGGGCCGCAGCTGGAGGAGTGAACCCCTGCGCGCACACGCACACGCTCTTTCCACCCTCTCCTTCCCCAGCTTTTTGCCTCGTACCCGCTGGTAATGTCCCTTTTTTACTTTCTTGAAACTAGGCAATTCAAAAGGAGAAAATGCAGCAAACTGGCTAACCGCAAAAAGTGGCAGAAAGAAACGGTGCCCCTATACCAAGCATCAAACTCTCGAGCTGGAAAAGGAGTTTCTATTCAATATGTACCTGACTCGTGAGCGTCGCCTAGAGATCAGCCGCACAGTCCACCTCACAGACAGACAAGTTAAAATCTGGTTTCAGAACCGCAGAATGAAACTGAAGAAAATGAACAGAGAGAATAGAATTCGGGAGCTCACAGCCAACTTTAATTTCTCTTGATGAACCTATAAACACATCTTTATGGTTTAAAGAGCCAGTATCATTTTCCTAGGCTGTAGACATCCGCACCTGTACGGATTAACGATTTTAGACATTCTCAGTATGTCCTTAACCTCTTTATAGCTACTTCTGGGGGGTAGGGAGGGTGAGCCATGCTAATGCACAAAATGCCATGTATGAACCTCCCCGGTTCCTTTAGGTTTCCCCGGGTCTAAATTGTTCTTTTAAGCCTTGAAACAAAGAAATATTATTTTAGGAACTGCAAATATCATTCCCCTCCCGTATCTCACTGAAAAATATACAAGCTCAGTTAAAGGAGCATTCTTTTAAATTATAGGTGATGTAACTTGGACTGTATGTAACTTCAGAATTAATAATTTGAGCCTTGCCATATTTCCATACGTTGGAAGCTCAGCTTCTTCCCCCTCTGTTTTCCTTCCCCCCTCCCCCCTTTTTCCTTCGAAAAGCAGGACTTACAATAATGAAATGCAGGCATGCTTTAAAAGGGCTTAATGGGAACTGGTGTTAAGAGAGATTTTTTTGCTTTACCTTAGAAGTCAATATTACAGCTTTAAAATTGGCCAGGAAAATGAAATCTCTTCTCTTTAAAGGTATAAAAGAGTTCGTGTTGCTTATGGACTAAATTATTACACTTACCTCTGAATTTCTCTCTCTCTTTCTGGTTGTAGATATTTACTTAATGTAGTTTTGCTTAAATATGTGGAATTAGTGAAATTTTGTCTATAAATAACGTTACCATTGGTAACGCATGACAAGCACACAACATTCCCCCTTGAGAAATAAAATAGTCACTTTTTCCTCACTAATTACACTCAAAAGTGTCTATCCTGAACATCAGAAAGACTTTCTGAGCCAGAGTCTAAGACAGAGAGGGAGAATATGTCCGTCTTCCTTTATACTGTGAAGTTACACGCATTAAAGGGTCAAACATATAGGTGAAAAAATAAAAGAAAAAAAACGAAAAAGAAAGAAGGGGAAAAACTATAAATACAGATATGTATAAATGTCTATTATTATTAAAATGCCGATACTGTTTTAAGCAAATGCATTCTATTGATATTATAAATGTTAGTTCTAGCTATATCTAGTTCTTACCTTAAACCGGAATAAATTAATATTGTAATGCTGCTGTGCGTGAAAAAGACGATGTTTATGTTCTCATAGAAGAATAAAAAACGTGGAATGAATCCTTTTAATTTTACCTCTTTTTGTGACTGTTTATCCTCAGGTTCTACTTTATGTCTTCAAGAACTTTTACAACAGGAATAGTTGCCTAAATCCCCTGCAATTACTTTAGGAATCTATTTAAATATTACCTAGACGGTCGTAATTTGTCTGGGCCATATAGCGATGGTGCTCTAAGGTTTGTCGGCTTTTGTTCAGTTTTATGACTTGCTAGTATATCTGGATTGTTGCTGTCTTGAACGAGTGGTTTCAGTTGACTGAGGAGCTGCATAGACTGAGGAAGCAAATTACTATTTCTTAGGGCAGCGAACCGATTTTTTTTTTTAATCAAACACCTACAAGTGTGCAGAGATCTTTAACTCCAGAGGACAGTGACAAAACTCTAGGTTTATCTCAGGGCTCAGAAGAAATCAGAAAACCGTGGGGGGAGGGGGTTAATAGACTCTCCCTGCTGCTGCCGGGCCGCTTCCAACCCCCTCAGACAAGGCTGTTCCCTACCTGGCTGCATGCGGAAGAGCTTATTTAACCGATGCTGCTTTTTGCATCCTCCCTCCCTTCTTTGCTGCATGTTTATCTAGTAGGGTCGTGCACAAAGGGAAGGCAAAACGAGGGCTGGGATAAGAGCGACAGCTAATGCTTTCTTCCAGGGTATGTGTGCGCTGGGAGGAGGCGGGGAGGGGGGGGATAGACTTTGAACCCGGGCTTATTGGGAGCCGTTAGCTTTTTATGATGTAACATTGTCGTGCACGGCCTTTTCTTCCCGTTTGCATCTGCATGGAGAGGAGAAAGCTGCCCATAGGGGAGGTTATTATTATATTTCTCTTGTTTTCACTAACCCACCAGGGCTGGCTGGGGGGCGCGGAGGGGTGCCGGCTGGGTGTGCGGGCGGGCTAGACGGATGTTTTAGTCACGTTTCTGGTTTTATTTTCGTAGCGGGATCCTTGCGTTAAAGACCACGGCTATGGGGAAAGTAATAATTAGCGCCTGAGAACTGCTCTGTGGTTTAGGTAGTTTCATGTTGTTGGGGCTCCACCTTTCTCTCTACAGCACGAAACTGCCTTAATTACTTCAGTTGATATCATCACCAGGTATGCTTGGTGCGAGGGTCCTTTGTGCCCGAAGAAATCTTAACGCCGAAGTTATCTCTAGGCGTCAAGTCCCAATGCCATTGTTTCCTATCTGCAACGGAGGCTTCTTTGATTCCTCAGATAAACACGGCAGCCAAGGGGGGAAGCTTGACAAGTTCTTCAAGGTTAGCTAGATCCTAAGCGAGTCCCTGCCTGCTATGGGATTTTAATATCTCTTTGCAGGCTGCATTCAAGGTCAGGTGCGTTTTTGCATTCTGCTAGTCGTGGGTCGAGCTCCGGCGGCGAGGGGGGTTGGGGGGTGCGGAGTGGTGACTCTTTATTTTTCTGTCTGGATTTATTAAAAAAGAGAGAGCAAAAGGCTCTTTCCTTCCTCGGGGAGAGATCAAGTCTGCCCCACGGCGAGCACTAACAGAAGCAAGGCCCCGGAGCGCAAGGCCAGGGACCGGGCAGACCGCACCGTGCTTGGCCCTGCTCGTAGCCCTCGCCCCCTTCGCACTGCGGGGGCCGGGTCCGCACCGGTGTGGGAGTGG